ACGGAACCGTTAGTATCAAGTAGTTGACGCGGTCACTGAGCACATCTGTTCCTGTTGTAGCTGCATCTTAAAGTGGAGAAAACTATCAAATAATTATTCGTCATGGCGTCGACAAGGTGTACCTTCTAACCCCATCGCAATGAGGCTGGACCTTATCGTGGTGCGATGGTTTGTGTGCCTCAGTGATCCATTGAGCTATACTGGATGGTGCATTTTTTGCACCTTCATAGCCACTCATACCAGGTTGGTCAATGGTTAGAGGCCAGACAAACTCAGCCTCCTGGTCCTCCAGGTTGGGGGTGGGAATGAGGGTGGCACCTTATACTTTAAAACGGACTCCTTGTAGCCCAATGCCAAACCCGCTGCCTTGCGGACAGGTTTTTGAACCATAGGCTTTGGTTGAGAACCCTAATCGTTATCCTGTCTAGGCCTGAGCAACCTGACAGTATCCTGCCCACGTAATACTATGAATCCTTCCCCAAACAAATTTCTGATGCTCTGGCCACCGCAGAGGATAATCAACGGTGCCCTATCTGCTGCAACGGGCAGGGTAGGTAGGGGTTTGGATGCTACTGCTCAAGCCTTCCCGTCTTCTTATTCCCTCTCTTGCGCTTTTTCACCCTTATCATCCCGTTCCAGCTTCACTTTTATCCTCCCTGTTTTCAACGTCCCAATGCTTGGCCCTTCCCAACCTTGCTTCAATAGTCGCTCGTCTTTTAGTTTCAACTCACAGGTGAACGCAGAGCGTCATTCCTGCACTGTCAACAGGCCCATGTCCAAGCAAGCGGCCCATTCCAGTTCATCGGCTTCCATTTGGAGCCCTCGGTCCTCCTTCAGATTGGCATGCCTCAATGTTCGCACATTGCTTCAGATTGGTCAACAGGCAGCACTTGCTCGAACATTGGAGACCCTCTCGATCGATATCTGCTGCTTATCAGAGACCCGCCTGCAAGACTCGAGCTCAGCGATCACTTTGTCATCCCCTTCAGGTGACGCAAACAGTATTTTCTCATTGCGCCTATCCGGTGACGATGCAGCTTCGAGCACCGGCCAAGCCGGTGTTGGTATTGCCCTGAGTCGCCGGGCTGAAGCTACTCTGGTTGATTGGATTCCAATCAATAGCCGGATGTGTGCGGTCCGATTGGCCGGCTCATTCACAGCTTCGAAGTCACGTGCGACTAACAGGTGTCTATTCGTTATCGCTGCCTATGCACCGACAAACTGTAGCGATGACTCGGTAAAAGATGACTTCTATCGTCAACTGAGCGAGCTGCTTAGCCACAGAAGAAGCACAGACACTGTAGTACTGGCTGGGGATCTGAACGCTCAAGTTGGAAAATTATCCACAGATGAGCTTCATCTGGGCGGCCAACATGGTATAGGCTCCCGTAATGATTACGATGAGTGGTTACTTCATTTGTGTGAGGGTGCTTGCTTATTTCTTGCGAGCACTAATTTCCGACACAACACCCGCCGAAAGGTGACTTGGCGCCCACCAGCTTCGAACCATCTATGGACGCAAATCGATCACATTGCGATAAGTTACCGATGGAGAGGCTGCGTCCAGTATTGTCGCTCGATTTGGAGCACAGGTGTGGACACCGACCATGCACTTGTATGTGCTGACATTCAGATGTGTTTTGGCGGACGCCCGCGACGACGTTGTGAGCGCATTGACACCGGCAGACTGGCGAAGTCAGCTGTTCTGAACGCGTATCAAAGTACGCTGTCATGCGAGTTGGATAAACGCTCACTGGGTGCAATTGAAGCTCACTGGTCCCATATTCACCAGACTTTACTAGCAGCAGGCAAATCCTCATGTGGTGTGTCTATTCGCCAACATGGACATTGGGTCTCTTCACAGTCTCTGGAACTTATGGATGCTCGCCGGCATATTCCGGCTGGAAGCGAACACAATGAAACTCGCAAGGAGCTCCGGGCAAAACTCCGTGCTAGCCTGAAGAGAGACCGCGAATCCTAGTGGTCTAATCGTGCAACAGAGCTGGAGATGGCTGCTGCCCTTGGTAACCATCGTAAGTTATTCCGTCTGATACGGGAAACGAGCAGCAGGAGACCTGGTGTTAGTGAAACTATACGTGACGAGAGTGGACAGCCTATCCACAACTTATCAAAACGCTTGGAGCGTTGGGCTGAGCACTTTAAAAGGCAATTTAATCAGTCGGAATGGTTAGATTTCTCGCCGGCCACTGATCACCCCACTCCGTGAGCTGTCCCATTGGGTCCACCCTGTCGCTCAGAAGTCGAACGTGAGATCGGACTGTTGAAGTTAAATAAAGCCGCGGGACCAGATGATCTTCCTCCAGCCCTCTTCAAATTCGGGGGACCTGCTCTTATGGGTGATTTACACGAGTTACTAGTGAAACTGTGGGAGCAGGAAACTGTCCCAACCGATTGGAACCGCTCCGTCATGGTCCCAATTTTCAAAGGAGGCTCACGATCGGAATGCGGCAGCCATAGAGGAATCAGTCTGATCTCCATCGCCTCCAAATTGCTTGCCTCTGTCATCTTTCACAGACTGACTGGCACTCGTGAAAGCCAGATTCGTGAAGAGCAAGCTGGATTTCGTCGAGGTCGTGGCTGCATTGACCACATCTTCACCTTGCGTCAGTTGTTGGAGCACCGCCACATATACTGGCGGCCCACCGTTGTCGTGTTCCTCGACATCAAAGGTGTATTCGATTCGGTGGATAGACATGCACTTTGGGACTGTCTACTCAGGAAAGGTGTGCCCGAGAAATATGTGAATATTATCCGAGCATTATACGCGCGTAGCTCGGGCAGAGTGAGGGCTTACGGCAAGTTGTCGTCGCTCTTTAATATCTCTAGCGGCGTGAGACAAGGATGTCCGCTGTCACCTTTCCTCTTCAACTTCGCTGTTGACGAAGTCATTGAAATCGCGTTCACAGGACATGACTTAGAAGGTGTGGAGCTACTACCAGGTGAACGACTTCTTGATTTAGCGTATGCTGATGATATTGCCCTGATCTGTGACAGCTCACAAACGTGCCAAGCGGCACTGGACAGATTAGCAATAGCTGTCCGTCACTTCGGGATTTGCTTCGCACCCTCGAAGTGCAAAGCGTTCCTCTAAGATTGGTCTGGACCGCCCCCTACGTTGACCCTTGGTGGGGATCAGCTAGAAGTCGTTGAAAAATTCAACTACCTGGGAAGTTGTATCAGCGCCCGTGGGATTGAAGATGAGATCACGAACCGTATAGCAAAAGCTCGGGGCGCTTTTGCTAACCTTCGCCACTTATGGCGCCGGGGCGACATCACTCTCGCCCTGAAGGGTAGAGTGTACAATGCAGCGGTACGTTCGACCCTACTGTACGGTTGTGAAACCTGGCCGCTTAAAGCAGCGGACTTGAAGAGGCTAGTTACGTTCGACCACCGGTGCCTTCGCAATTTAGCTCACATCTGGTGGGAACTCCGCGTGAGCAACGAGCGTGTTCGACGCCTTGTTTACGGCACAGGAAAAGGAAATGAACCGCTCAGCACCGTCATTTCACACACCAGGCTCCGATGGCTCGGCCACGTGTTACGCATGCCAGCCCACCGACTCCCGCGATGTGCGTTGTTTGCGCACCGGGGATGTGGATGGAAGAGGAGGGGTGGCCAAGCGATGACTTGGTCGAGAGGAATGAAGGCCCTCACTTCTGAGCTGGCCTCGGTTGGAGCGTTTCGGCTCCCTGGTTGGGGTCCGAAAGACGATGAACACGTTTGGTTGGACACACTTGCTGATATGGCTAGGAGCCGACCTCAGTGGCGTTCGTGCTGTGAGTTTCTTTGTCTCACCCCATCCCTCTTAGCCTCTCCCTCCAACCACGATCTCATTATTTAACCTTATATAATTTTACATAGTAATTTTTTTGATGCATAGTAGCCGGCTGGTAGCTTACCGGAACGATGCCGATCCGCTACCGGTTGCTCAGCCGGTTTGACCCAGTTGAATTTTTTTCTCCTTTTTTCTGTGTATTGCAGCACAGTAGCTGAGGTGTTCCCCACCTCTAGCTAACGTGTATGATGATGGTGACCTTCTAACCCCTACTATTCGTCATGGTACAGTGCGATCGAGTAGCACGAAGTGAGCGGCCCCTGCTGCGCTTGCAGAAACGGTTGAAATTGGTTCCACATATCCACACTGATTGTCTTCCTTCTGCCTCCAAATTGACAAGCTGCAGCGCGAATGATTTCCGTCACCACTTGTTCTCTACCATGTTCAGATACGCCGGAACAGCGTGCAACTTCATCGTGGTTATTAATCGGCCGTCAAAGTACCTGGTGACCGTGCTGGTGCGTACCTCAAATTCAAACTCCGCTTTCAAACGTAATCGAAGAGCTTCAAGGGTTACTGTTGGCTCCGCAGACACTCACCCAACCAGAGGGTCGACATGACTTTCTGCCAACGCTCTACGGCAAACCCCTCCATGCTGTCTCCTAAGTTCGGTTGACGGCCACATATGAAGCCAACTGCGGCAGGTTTTCCCGTTTATGTTGAGCACACTAGCAACTTACTTCCAATCCGCTCCCTCCTCACACGTTTTCACTATTCTGCTCTTCACTTCCATGAAATGATGGGCATACGGTCAGCTTCGTGCCATCGATTTTCGCTAAACTGCACGTTCACAGTCTTATTGATAATTTATTTCCCGTCTCACCCAAATTGCCTGTGTACTGGGATCGACCGTTTACCCCTGTCCCACCTCGTGAAACTGGCTGTCTCATTGACCCAAAGCTGGTCAGCTGTTTGCGGTCAGTCATATGCCTGTCCGCGTTGCCTATTCGTCATCGCAGCAAGACCCCGTGTGCAGGTGTTCTTTCCTTGTGGCCACGGAACATAGCTGTCCCCCTACTGTGACTTGTGATACATAAGGGCTATGGACTGTGGAGTCTACCAGCCACATAGGCTCTGGAGCCAGGTGTTTATCCGTGAGGTGATGTATATCAGTCACCCTTGACTCCAGGGGTAGGGAACGCAGGAATCCAACTGATGATATTTCGTTCCCTTCTGCAGCAAACGGGTTACATTCGTAAGCTCGGTTTCATCATTGGTGTTAACCTAACATGTAAGTTAAATGGAAGCGGACGATGTAACGCAACCTCCAGACTGAATGTGGTTGTTAACGACCCCACCACACATAGTGTTTGAAAGGACACTGCGAGGAGTCCAGCTTTTGCTTAAGGTTAAGGAACACATCATAGGATTATGGTGCTAGGTGAATTCAATGTGGCAAGTATGCTGTATGCGCTTAGGCGACGCGCTTTGATCTTCATTTGTGTCTTTTCATTTGATAACTGGCAGGTCAATGCTTCCGTCATTCTACTAGTAACTGAAAGCACGTTAAGAAGTTGCTGTTCGGCTGCAACTCATTTCTACTTGGACAAGTGAAGCGTCTCACACTAAAAATCTTATCAAAAAGCGCGGATTCTGTAGTCAGATTATAATGTGACCGCACAGACGACAAGTCACCTGCCACTGATATGTTTACATTCCCTTCTGCGTTGGTGGAGAGCTGAAACCTGTAAATCGGACACGATGATACGGTCTCGGAGATAAATGCAGTACGGTAGAAAGAATAGTTGGGTAACGGGTACATTGGATGCTTCCGCGCGAATGCTGGAAAGAAATCAGTAGCTGTGGATGCATCACGGAACACAGGCGGTGCGTTGAACAATGCACGGTCACTGCCACCAGACTCCACGAGCTTCCATGGTGAGCTGTTTGAGCTCAGTATTCAGAGCTTCGCGTAGAGTTACAGTAATTGTACGGTGATCTTCCATAAGTTGAACACCGAGCGAAAATCTGCCGGTTGATTATGTGCCTGGTGAGCATACGGATGGCATTAGCAGACTTGTGCACGGCATTCCAGATACGTGTCCAATGCGCCTCAACATCTGTGAGTAGAGAGCTGTTCAGAATAGGAGACGAATTCCTAAAGGCACTCAGCTTATTTGGAAAGCCCGTTCGCCTACTTCTAACTGCGTCCGACGATGCCGCTAGGTGCCAACAAAATGCAGGACCATTCTAGGACACACAAGCGCGTGATCGGAAGTGAGCTAAGTACTTCAAATTGACCTGCTGTCCCTTGAACAGCCACGACAATTGTAATCGATCACCATGTGGTCAGTCTGTATCCACTACCGTGAACAGCAGAGATCTGTGGCGGTCGACCCCCATAATCCCGTAACCTAAAGGTAACGAGCTCGTCTTGAAATCTGAAGACGCAGGTTCGAGACTACGAAGGGACCGGGCAAGTCTCACAGCATCTTTAGCCCACGTGCGACCGGTGGTGATTGCATGGCAGCATGGTGTCGGTACTGGGTAACGACATACTGCTGATGCCTTTCTTCTTCTTTCTTAATCCGTCATGCGAATACCATAGCAATCCAGACTATCGACATCTTGTTCCAAAGCTTCGAGCCTAGCAACTGGTGCGTTCAAGTCCCCGATGAGAATCACGATCTACTCGCAATGATTCTTATAGAGTAGGTCGGAGAGTTGACGGTTGAACTCATCTTTAGCTGAGTCCGGGCTGCAACTCGTTGGAACATGCACTGTTGTATCAAACAAACAGTGTATGGTTACCTCACGGCTGCACAATCGTATGGAGACTTCCACTTGAATTGCACATGATTAGTTAGTAAGTAGGATCCAAACAAATAGCGCGGCTTCTGCGCGCGCAGTAAACACAATTCATACACCAGTCTGGTGCACGGTGTCTTCACTTATGTCTCCTGATAAGTTTGGCGTGCACATGTTCTGCAAACGATCCAAATATTACTTAAATTCATGTTCAAGTGTGTTGTGCGAACACAGAGCTTTTCAGTTACCAAGGTAGAGGAAGCGGGTTAACTTCTGTAAGCAGAGTCAACGCCTTAGTTCTTAAAGCCCATACCCGCAAGGCAGTGAGGTGATTAACATATGTCGCGAACCGTCGACAGCCGATAACACGACTTTGGAGTGGCAACCAACTACATATGTCGCCGGAACAGTACCAGTATGGCAGTAAAGCGACCATGGAATATTTCCTGAAACACGCGACTCGTTGCCGAACACGAACACAGTCGACAGCCAAGTGGCTCAAACGCCTTCTTAGTGTTCGATGTTAGTCCGCACAGAAGCGAGTAGGAATCGAGATTGTTCATCCACCTTTAGTTAGATACTTCATTCCAGGTAAAAAGTGGGTGGTCACTGACCCTATATCTGGAAGCATTGGCCAGCCTCGAACTTCCCACGCTCTGATATGCTGCGTTGATTGCCCGCGGCTACCTATTAACACACCTGCGGAACCAACGAGACTCATTGACACTTGCTCTCAGTAGGAATGCATTCCTCGATTTGCAATCTGCGGGAGCACGCGACGGCGTACAACGACCTCGTAAACTGCTCCCTGTGTAGACATCCCACTCGCAGCCTCGTCTTGCATCACTACTTCTCTAACCATAGCAAATTATCGTATCACCGCAGCATTAGTATACGAGGAACTGTGGTTTCACTATAATCTTTGGATTTTGTGGTCTACACCCTACCAACCTACAGGACTCGTTGAGCATTCAATTCATTGCCCCTACTAAACATTACTCAATGTAACTGTTACACATTGCTTTGAAGCGCATTGCGGGCTAGACGTGGAACTAGCACTAACACAATTCATATATCAGTTGCATTACAATCTTATTGTCCGCGTTGATACGTCGCCCATCGCAATCGCATGACGCCAGGAAGATTTTTGCGCTGCTATCATCCCACCAGTGAAGGTGTCTATGTCCACCGGTGCCCATGCGATTTAGCAGTGTGACCAAAGTAACCTGTGGCCTCCGCGCTTCAATGCGCCACTCGTATTGTGCCTATTGCCCCGTGCACGCCATGTGTCCACCGCACGCGATGGATGGTGCTGATAAGCGGCTGGGGTTTAGCTTAGCAACACGGATTGTCTGTCTTGTCGGAATGCGAGTAGCCAGTGTCCCTATTTGATAACAGGCTTTGTTATAATGGTGCTGTGAATCGCACTCAAATTCCTTATCATACGTTGACGCCGTTTCCTCTTAGCCTGCAGTGGGTGACCTCAGATATGAACCAGTTACTACCCC